TGGTGGAGGGGAGTCCCCATTACCTGTAAAGCGCTTTGAGTGGAGTGTCCAGAAAAGCGCTATATCAGTGTAAGCAATTATTATTATTATTATTAGACCACATGCAGCCCTGTTTTCAATGTATTCTGTCTTTGCAAGGCCTGCCACTATTCTTCAAATTCTTTCCAACATTTTCTGAACATGTAAACATTTTAAAATTATTACTGAAGGAAAATAATAATAAGGTTGTGACCTTTTCCACAGACTTAACTTGAACAATTCCTGTAGCTAGGCTAGCTGTCAAGACCTGGTCTTAGAGGGGTGTGTGTTGGTGGAATTCTGGGTATCTTTGCAGTACCTGAAGAGCCTTAACTTTTTAAACTCCAATTAAGCTAATAAAAGCTGATTTATCTTGTTAAAAGCTGATCTGTAATGAAAACTTGCAGAAATTCAGACCCTCCAGAACCAATATTGGACATCCAGACACAATATCAACAGATTTCAGTTCAAATCAATAATCAAGCTGTTGGTATCTCTTAAGAAGAATACATTAGAGCTAGTTAATTTCTACCATCTGGATTAGAAACCAAGAATTTAGCTCTCTGAATTGATGGTAACTGGAAACCATAGTCTAGCGTATCTGAACTGCATAAGTCTGAATAGAGCAAGGTGTGCATACTAATTGGATGGTATATACAGTAACAGAAGGAAATGAGTGTTTTACTGTATATACCCAGGTTTCATACTTTCCAATACAGACGAGACAAAACAGAATGGTAGTGAGTAGTTGTAATTCTGCTCTATATGTTATTAAAGGTGTTATATGTTATTCCAGTGCATTATGATATACAATCTACTACATGGTGTATTTGTGTTAGCAACAGTGTAACTGGTGGTCATTGGATATCAGAAAATTATTGCACATGATATAGTGGGTTTATAAACTGACTCCCAAATATTTCCAAAAACCAAGTTTAATTTGGATACAGTTTGGTGAGTACCTGATATTTTTTATATTGTCTTTTGACACATTTGATAAACTCAGATGAACTCATTTGTAGTGTGCTTTTTCCTTCATATTGGAGCATTTATTTAACTAGAATTTTACATCCTTAACTTTCATAAACAATGTGTTATGTCTACATTTTGAGTTTCACTTAAATATTTATGACACCTTCAAATAAATATAAGGCGTAATGTAAATAATGTTTTGAACGCTTTTCGTGTATACATGTCTGTTAATCTTAAAATATTAAATCCTGTGACATTTCTTTTGGAAGCCACCAGAGGGAGACAACATTACGTTTAACTCATTATGTTTCAGAATGGCCCCGAAGAATTCAGCGAAGATTTGGGTCGACTGCTTCCCGCAGAGCTGTCTGACCTACTTTTTATCATTCTCCACAAGCACGCAATTTCTTTTTGCAGATTGGTAAACACAGATCAAATAAGGAAAATATAAGACCGTGGTCTTGTGAAAAAAAAAAAACATAAAAAAGACATACAGTATCTGAAATAAGGAGAGTACAGTTCGAGCAACACATAAATTCGTGTAAAAACAACCGTTGATTACTACAGTACCTTATATCATTCTCCTGATCAACAACAGTTAATTATTCTACATTATATTATTGTCCTAAAATATAAAATTAATGTTTGAAAAAGCACATTGAATTGTTTCTGAAAATAGACACGTGGGCTTAATCCGCTGTACTGTATTTATACTCGATTCTGGTGTGTTTCTGATGAGGAGGAGCTGTACTGGATGGACAAGTGGACTCGGGCAGAATTCCCAAAGCTTGATTTATTTTGTAGATACTGTATCAGTACTTTTGGCAACATCTGTTGATGAAGGTCACAGAGGCTAATGAAAATCAAGAAAGAAGGTAGGGTTAACAATACATAAGCATACTAATTAGGTTAAAATACACAAGAGAAAATGCCAGATTCTTCATTAATCTGTTAAATATTATTTTCATATTTTATAGCACCTAAGTCTGTATCCCGAATACGATGTATCCAGTTCAAGTCATGTTAGTATTTTTATAAATCATTATATTTTGTCTTTGTCGTAATTACAACGGTCGGTTTCCACCTTGCGATTTCAGAACCACTTCAGAAAGCAAATCCGGACAGCTCCAGTTTAACACATCAAGTTCGGCAGTTCGCCCCCAGTGTATATATTTTCATTCTTCAGGCCTCTGCGTCGCAACAAGCCCATGTTTTATAGGAAATATCTCTAACCATCTCGGGAAATGTACACTCCCTTAAACCTCTGCTGTATCTTTCAAAATCTCCTGCAAGTTTTTTGATTCATTGCCAAAAGATTTAACATTTTTCTCCAAGAAGAACACAACACAAAAACAAAACTAAAAAAAAAAAACAAAGGGAAAACTAAAACAAAGAAAGTGCATGGTTTTAATTAGATATATTTAAATATATACTTCACAATTTCAACAAAGGTACTGTATGAAAGACTGTGAAAATGAGGTATTTAAATTCATACTATGAGACAGAATTACAGAAGCTGTGACACTAAACTGCTGGACATGCAGATTTATTTACAAAAAACTGAAATCATGGTGACTTTCCGAGGCAGCATGATCAAGAAGCAGAAAGGACAATAGCAAAACCATTCTAATTAAAATTAATAACAGAAACCCTAGGTGTTCAATGGCACAGAGAAGAAAGCTGAATAAACAGATGAAAACAGACTGTGTTTTTTCCTTAATTACTCACCAACATCAATCAGTTTGGGATGATTCATACTTCTGTGTAATCAATCCACACTATTGACCACATGCTTTGAAATCATGGCTCAGAGAATATGACACGCTCAGGAAGCACGTGGACTAGGGCTTTCCCGAGGAGAAGCCTCGATGTGTTGTAATATCCCAGAGGTTTCCGAGTTGTAATCGCTGCAGGCTGAGCCTACGGGGCTGAAGCCAGAGAAGTATCTCTTGGACTTGCAATTTTGGCCTCCAAAGTAAAGTTCCACTGTACTTGAGGATTTGCCTTCTTTTTGTTTTTTTCCCTTCTGGTATCCTGGGTTCTGACACATTGGGGAACTGTCAACTACTGTACTTGCATACAACATGAGGATTTAACCCTTAACAATTTTAATAGTATAAATACACTTAACACCATAGTTGCCATGGTTTACCTTAGAAAGTCAAAATTTCAGCCTCTTATTATCATTTGTTAATGTCATGCCCTCTGCAGCCAGAGGGTGCTCCTTCTCTGTCCTGTCTCTCATTTCTGGTTCTTTGCTGTCCTTCCGGTGTTTCTCTCTCTCTGGGGCTATATACTTCCGGGTCTTTCATTCTGCCTTCGCTCA